TATTGTATCGTTAAAAATTATTTTTTTATTTTGTACAAACAAAATAAATATATTGAAAAATATAAAAACAATAAAAAATTATACTTCAGAAGTTAATTTAGTATCAAAAACGTAAAATATTTGAGTAGCCCAAGACATAGCCAAAGATTGCAGCGCCACAGCACTGGCGAAAATTTAAATTTGACGACTGGAATTCTTTCGGATAATTGATGTTTCGGATAATTGACTTTCGGATAATCGACGCTCTACTGTATTTTTATATCACACAGGCAATTAGTGTTATTTGTGGATTATTAAGTTTCCATCAGTCTGTTTAACTTTAAACGAATAATTAAAGATGAAGTGATCTAATATGCTAAAAAATACTTTTTAATTAAAAAATAGACAATGAACTTTAATCTACACTATAGAGATGAACTTTATCTTTATTATGACTATGAACAACATATACATTCAAAATAAACATGCATATTTTTTTTTCTAAGAAACACTTTCATTTTAATTCATTTTCAAATTTATTATAACTTAAAATATTTAAGAAAACTTACTCTTTTCAAAATAATATCAATATACCCTGCAATAAGTTGAGAAATTTGTTCTCCTTCTGTTGTTTGTACAGAATAATAGGAATCTGAGTAATCACCAAAATCCTACATAAAAATTTGAATAATAATTTATTTATTTTTTTTTTTAAAAAGTTAATATTCAAATATAATCTTAATAAACTGTTTATGTACTACAATATTAAATTTAGTTAGTAATAAAAAAATATTTCAAAAGCAATTTTTATGACTAAATAATGATTTTAATTTTGCAATACATACAAAATTTTGATAAATAAAAGAGATAAGCTTACAATAAATTTTTTTAAATATTTGGAATAGATTATGAATAGAAATGATATATTATATTTGTATTATTTAATATATTTTTTTATAAGATTATAAAAAAATTGACTAATATATCTTTATTTGAAATAATTTTAAATATCATATAAATTCACATTCTTTAGAAGCCAGTTTTTAAAATTTTATCAATGTTAATTGTAAAAATATTCAAACAAAAAAATGATTTAATAACAGCAAGAGTATGTAGTAGAAATACATTGATTTATAAAGATAATAAAAAGATTCAATCTAATATAAAATGACAGTAATTAGAAATTTAAATGTATTATATATACAGGAGCACAAAAAAGAAGACAGTGAAAGAAATTAATTAGATAGAATTTTAAATTGCAAAAATTGTTTATTTAAAATAATTAAAAAGTGAAATGCTGGATCAATCTTTAGCAACTTGCTTACAACTGTAGCTAAGACTGACTAAAGAAAAATATAAAAATTTTAGATATAAATACATACATACAACTGAAGATTTTAATAAAATATGAAACAAAAATCTAAAGATTATAATGAAAGACAATTCACATGTATTTAAGATAAATGTCGATAGTGTGATGTATAGAAGTTTAAACAAAGTTGAAAAAAATGAAATAAAAATCAAATAATATTTTAGGAAAAATTAATTTTATTATAATAAATCAGAATAAAATTATAATAAAATAGTGGATAAAATTCAGTTATTGTGTAGGTATAATGATACAAAATTGTTGTAGATAATATAACAAGCAAATATTTATAAAGAAGGATTATTAAAAATAGTAAATATAAAAGATGGCAAAATTATCATATATTTGGAAAAAGGTAATTAATTTAAAATATAGAAAACTAGAGAGAAGAAAATAGTTATTAACAAGAATGGAAATAAGTTATAACTAGAATTTGTTAATTGGATCTTAGACAATTTAACAGAATTGTTTTAAGTTCATTCAAATAATTCTGTTAAAATAGCACAGCATAGTATGATAGCATTAAACAGTATTGCTACTTTCATTTTAAATATAACTTATTGGTTACATATTAATAATTTCAAATAATTCAACATCTATAAGAATTTATTTTAACATTTAAAATTATTCTTATATTCTAAAATAATGCAAAAATTAGTCTAAACATAAAAGCATTTTCAAATTTTAGTTCAAATTTATATTTCATAAAAATATTAATGACACCTATTGCTGGAATTTATTTGAAGTCAAAGATATAGTTATAAGTAACTATAGTAAAAAATGTAAAAAAAAAAACTACATTTTTATTTGTAAAAATAATTTACAGTAAAAATAAATGAAATATATTACCAAGGTAAAGCTATTAGGTGAAGCTGCCCATCTTCTTACTGTAGTTAAAGGCCAAGTTTTTAATATCTAAAAAAAAAATGAATAATAATATAGTTTTAAAATAAGATAATTAATATTAAATATAACATAAAGTTCTTTACATAAATTTATATCTAAAGTAGTAAAATATTGTTAAGTCAAACCTTAAGAAAAAAATCCTGACTTTGAGTTAGAGAGTTTTGAGTTATTGGGTTTAATACTTGATTTTCTCAAAATTTTTCTGAAGACATGGATTTCCCATTATCAAGCTGTTTCTCAAGAATTTGTTCACAGAATAATTATAAAATTGTATACACTTTATGGTGCTTTTGAATCTGTTGTCAAGACACCACTAGAATGTTGGTAACATACTGTATCAATAAAAGAATTGTAATGGCATGTTGTGGTGTTTAGCTGGAGTCATAATGTTTAACTTAATTGTCTGTATTCACATGGAATATAAGAAAAAATGAAGATCATGGACCTATCAAATAGGTCCATGATCTTCATTTACCCTACACCCTACACCCATGTAGGTTTGAGTTTAAAAGACTTAACAAGACCATATTATATTGAAAACCCTATGTACTATGCCTGGAACTGTAGACCGCTTTGAGTTAANAATGGTATAAATAATTATTATATGCCTTGATTAACCTTGACCGCACATTTACAACATCCCGTGACTCACAAGTCAGTGAACATCGTGCATTGACTCATAGGAAATTTGTTGAAAAAATGCCGGATACATTTAAAATTGAGGTTTACAACCAAAGGTAAATAAACAAATTAAACTATTTAAAGTTTTATAGAATGTTTAATAGATAGAAATATAGATCTGTATGATACGATTGGGACTTTAATAGAGCTGTAGAGCACATTGATAAGAACAGAGAAGTCAAAGGAACTGTGCCTCATGGGAATTTGTAAAGAACGTCCACTAGGGGCATCCCGGGCTACTAGTATATTAATAAATCATTGTATATATTATAATATATACTAATATAAATACTAATTGTATATATTATAATATACTAATGTATATTATAATATATACAATTAGTATTTATATTAGTATATATTATAATATATACAATGATTTATTAATATACTAGTAGCCCGGGATGCCCCTAGTGGACGTTCTTTACAAATTCCCATGAGGCACAGTTCCTTTGACTTCTCTGTTCTTATCAATGTGCTCTACAGCTCTATTAAAGTCCCAATCGTATCATACAGATCTATATTTCTATCTATTAAACATTCTATAAAACTTTAAATAGTTTAATTTGTTTATTTACCTTTGGTTGTAAACCTCAATTTTAAATGTATCCGGCATTTTTTCAACAAATTTCCTATGAGTCAATGCACGATGTTCACTGACTTGTGAGTCACGGGATGTTGTAAATGTGCGGTCAAGGTTAATCAAGGCATATAATAATTATTTATACCATTCTGTGGTATAAATAATAAATTCTTATTATAATTACAAATAAAAATAATTTATTGTTAATTTAAAATCATCACTAGGGTGCCTCTAGTGCCCATTTTTGGCATACCATTACGCGGACAGACAAACACACGTTCAATGGGTTATGTAGATAGATAATGATAAGATTTATAATGCATATATAAATTCAAGATAATAATTGTAAGAACTATGAAAGTAAATATTATTAAATAGATTTAGTGAATAGTTTTGCAATAAATGATGATTATGTTAATAAGTACAGTATATACAAATACACATACAAATATGTTAATTGCTCATGAAAACAATGTATGAAAATAACTAACCTTAATTACATTTAAATTATTTGATGTAAAACCAGCAGGTTTTTGTTATATTATATGACAATGAATTTAAAAAAATACACTAAGATTTTTACAATTTGAATTCTTTTAAATGTAAACATTTAATATTTTGAAAGGAAAATAATTGATAGAACTTTTTTCAAATTGAGATTTACCAAAGTAATGCTTTATTTATATCACATATTTTTAATGTAAGTTTCAATTCATAATATTTAAACATGCAATCATCGTCAAGAGTATTTTCCAAAAGTTATTTCAGGAATTGCAATTGCTTGTGAAATTTGAATAGTGCAAATGGGGCAAGTTTGTCCAACTCTTATCCTAAAGATCATTTACAGCTAGATGATCATCTTATCAAATCTTTTTCATTTATTGCTGAATTTACAAATTTTTGCATTCTTATTCCATTTGTTTGTCAATTTAGTCGATAATGTGTTAATTATCCACTGAAAAAATGAGTGTATCTTGTAAATTTTAACACTACAGACAATTCATTTTGTATTGATGTGAGTCCATATTATCTTTAATCCATTAGACATTCATAACATTTATATTATAAAAGTAGAAATAACATTCAAAATGATGTAATTTCTAATGTTCTTAAGGAAGTTCATTTATAGTTAGATCTAAAAAATGTAAATAATAAATAAATTCATTACTCAATTTTGCTAAAAAGTTATGAATGTTAATATTTATGGACTGAAATAATAAACTTATTGTGCTGTAAATAAACATTAACAGAAAAAAATCTAATCTCATACAATCATTTGTGAGATGATGATTTTATAACATATTAGAGATAAATACAGTGGTGATATTCAAAATATTTAACAAAGGGTTCGCTAACAGAAAATTTTTAGCACATTAGCACAAAAACTGACCTAAGATAACCATATAAATAAAAAAGATGCGTTCGCAAAATTAAGTCAGTTAAAATTTAACATTGTTTATGGCAGAACTATATTTTTTTGATAAATATTAAAAAAAGTGTTCAAAATGGTTTATTTTGTACATACAGTATTTTAATATTTTTCATTCAAAATATTTTATAAACATAAAAATTGGCTTTTTCT